ACATAACAATCATGCCTTCTTGAAAAGTGGAGAAGATGTATTTGTCACTATGAATACCCGTTTTACATACTTCCATGAACTAGAATCTAAAACAGCCCGTAATTCTCGCCCGCATTTTCACGCAAAATTACACGGAAAATACAATCTAATATTTCGAAAACCTGTACATGACATTATTTCACAATATATTGTGACGTACCTGCGAAGCGGTACTTTCACGACAAAATAAATTATGCAAGGGACAGGTATATTTTCGTGAATGGGACTCCAGGAATTTGACGCAGCATAGGAAGATAATCGTTATAAATTCTTTTGCACATCTAAATATTTTAATGATCAAAGAACACACTTTACAAATAGTATTTATAAATCGCTATGCGCAGGCCTAGGAAACAAGCGCACGGTCAACGCTACCTTGATGTTTTAAAAACCACGTGTTTCCTCTGGAGGCGACCGGGGCATTCGTGGCGACGGCGGCGGTGGCTTCGGCAAGCTTCGGTTCGCCCTGAAGTCCGCCGGGAATTCGCCCTCCCTCGGCGACCAACTCCTCGGGCCCAACGTAACGGCCGATTCGAATTTCGCCGGGGTTCCACCTAGCCGGTGTTTAAATGTTCTCAAACGGATACTGGAACGCACGCCGGGTGATTGATGTCCGTCGGCTTGTTTAGTCTTTTCAGCAACCTTTCTTAACTTTGCGAAGATGTCCCGTTAAAGCACTGCCCACGTGTTATAATCAACCAGGGCGGGGATTATGACACCGAGCCCCACCGGCCCACACGATTATCCTGTCTTATTGGTTTTTATCAGTTCTGGTGCGCAATTCTACTTCACTAAATAATCTGATTGTTAATCCCTTATCAAACCCTGGTTTCCACACTTCAGCCGGACACTCTCAAGTCCGAACTGCACTTAACAAACGAAATAAATCTCCTGGACGCAGCACTGCCTCCCGCCGTGCTTCAACTCGAGGCCCCGTCCGCGCACACACTAACCGTCGCTCGCCTCGCCGGTTACCGCCCCGATTTTGACCGTTGGTGGCGGGGCGGCGTTAACTGCGCTGATCAACTCCCAGTAGCTTTTTTTTGCTTTAAATAATGGGGTGATCATTGTAATTGTTCTATTACAGAAACGTTCCTTCGTTTCAATATATTTCAGAAACAGTTCATATTAAAGGAAAACCTCTATCTTTAATATTTTAGTTAAACGAAGACGCCGAACAAATTTTGTTTTTTTGCAGTTTTCGAAAAATCGAAATATTTAAACGAACATGAGACCTGTACCATTTTCTTAAACGCTCTTCACAAAATCAAACAACAAAATATGGAAAGGTATACCTTGAAAGTTTAAAAAAAATATTTACAGAATTAGAGAAGTGTCTTCGTTGTATGTGGATCAACTGTAAATATGTCTAAATTAATTGGTAGATTTATATATGGTTGTAATATACAAGTATTCTGTAGTGAATGTGAAAACGTTATATTCTTTGAAAACTGTTATAAACTAGGTAAAAATAATATTGTGTATTCTGTAAACAGAGAGCAATTTGGTATGCTATGTGGTATTTAGGGCGGGGTTTAGCAGGTTTGTCGCTATTTCGCGTACTTCCGAATATCCCAAAAGCTGTAAAGAAATCTACGTTTGTGATGGTGTTTGACAGAATTCTAGTTGCATCTAGTAAAGTAGCTGCAGAATCTTTGCATATAGCAATTGAAAAAGTAGCAGAATTGACACGCTGCAGAGACATATCAGTGACTTGTGATAACCAAGGAACATAGTTCAAAGCATGGCGAATGCAGTTATTGGTACTGAATGTGGTAAACTGATAGACACAAAAGTCCTTTCATCAAGTTGTAAGGGACGTGAACAGTAAAAAATAAGAATACTATAGAATATCAAGAATGATAGAAAAACCATGAAGAATATAATAAAAATCTCAATGATTAATTAAATGCCAAAACTTGGTGTTTAAACGTCTAAGGTTTTGATTCATCAAAAAACTGTATAATAAAGAAATCTGCATCGTTATGAGTACAATTATGCAGCTGCTAAATGAGAGAATTACACAATAAAGTAGAAAAATAACTATTACTATCGCTGTGCGCGTGGAGAGCGCGTTTCAAACTACGCCGACATTCTCGTTGCACTTAAAACGTGATTAATGTTTACTTTTTCGCTACGGAGTAGAAAGAAACTTATGTAATGCCTCAAGAAAAACGGCGTATTTTCGACAGAAAACTCTTTATCTCCTTATAACGAAAAAGTGGATAAATCCAGTAGCTATGTTTAGAAAAAATTCCTCTAAATACCAGAATGCCTAAAAAGTGAATGACAGCAAACGTCTGTCTGTCCATCAATTTGTCCGTCGTGAATAATGGTAGCGCCTAAACTGTTCAGCCCACTTTCTTCAAAATTGATATTCCCCAAGCGATCTGTCTGATGTCGCGACGCCTTGAATTTGAAACCAATATTTTAATGTTGGGGGTTCTTTTCATGAAATCCCCGGAACATTTAGCTAATTTTCAAAAAAATGGCACCATCATTTTTATTAAGTGGGGAGGTACACCGTTGCCAACTATATTTTTACTGATATTCAACTTTTTTTATTTTGAAATCTACAAATTATTATGAAACAATAATTTTGTGTTTAATGTTGATTAATTGTTCATTGTATCGCACCATTGATTATTACAGAATTAGTAAAAATAATTTTATAAAAGAAATGTTAAACATTGTATTATACACTTCGTCGTTGAAAAGGGATAACTTTTTTCAGTTGTTGAAATAAAACTTGATTTTTACATTATTTATTGGAAACACTCAGATCTACAATATTTTCTAGAAGTTTTAACTTTTGTAAAGAGAAAATATGTTGTTATTAACTATTTCCTTTTACTAAGTTTTTTCTACAAACAATATTATATAAGATAATGGCAATCTTATATAAGTAAATGGTATATACATTTTTTAATACATTCTAACGATGACAGACCAAATATCCTTGTGAATTTTGATTTTATAACATACCTCCATATGTGCCCAAAATTCTATTTATGTAACTTAATTATTTATAGAATAATCAAGGAAATAATTTCAAAAAATCATACTTACTATTAATGAAGTTGAAAGTTGAACATATGTTTACCTTACATCTAAATCCTCCTGATGCATTAACATAATCCTCCTTCCGATTTTTTCTAGCTGCCTCTTCCAGTCTCAATCTCCTTCTGCATTTTTGACTTCCTTGGTTTCTACTAATGCTATTTTGTTTGCAGAAACTATGCGTCATCCTCTTCTTGGAATGCCAACATACAATACTTGATATCCTCATGCCTCAACATTTGTAGGACTTTAGTTCTGGCTTTTATCAGATCATTTAAAGTTATTATGGCATTATTCACAGTCATTTAAAGTTATTATGGCACAGATAGTTCAACAGGTGTTTTCACAACAAATTCAGTCTTTGGACAAACCTTTCAAATTTTGGAATTGAAGGATTCGTTGTTATTCTCAGTGAACCTACACCTACACATTTTTTGATACAGGTTTTATTGCTTGCATTATTGCATGGGAAACATTATTTTAGGGTAGTAACTCTTCATCGTACCATGAATCCGTTTTTTGATATGGGCACCAAAATTCAGAATTTTTCGCACATGAATAATGTATTCGTTCGGTGTCAGATGATATTTTATGATACCAAATAACCTAAATGGAATTCCACATTTCATCTGCAGATGGAAAGTGTGCCCTAATAGATTTCCGTAATAAACTGTCAGTGTTTATTACAGAATCCGTTAATATTTTCTCTCCACCAAGTGGTTTACAGTCTCTAAACTCTTCACCTTTCATGGTCTCTTTCAGTTTTCGGAGTTGTACTAAAAGAGGTTTCCTGAGGATCAACGGTTAAACGACGAAATGAAAACTGCTCTAATGCATCGGGCTTCGTCATGACAGATTTTTTTGACGTCGGAATTCAAACACCTGTTGAACGGTATGACAAATTAAATTTGTTAAAATAATTTGTTGCCCCGAATGGAATGCGAAACCGGGCCTTTGTGATTAGCAGCTCTAACCGCGAGTCTCTGAGCATCTAACGGAACTATGGTAACGAATCACAAGTCGGAGGCGATGTAGTTATCTTTCAATTTCTGCGCGCAATAGAAAATACCAATATATATTACAAGTATATTTATTTCAGCAGTAATTTATAACGTTTATAACTGTGAACACGGCAACAAACTAATCAAATATGCATTCTTACTATTAATATCAACAGTTTTAAATTCCTGCCCTCAACGTTACATCAAATGAAGTTTAACGTAATATTGACATCGAAAATATTCCAGATATTGCAGCTCAACATCATATTTCTGGCCATCATAATAATTTTTATTTTCAATTATACAGGCACAGTTATAACAAATGGTATTACATTCACTTAGAAAATTATTTCCTGTGTCACAAAACTACAAGAAAGTTACTCTCTTGCCAAAAGTTTCCATTCGGCCATTATCAGTTGATTTCATACCCTAACACTCCTCAAAAACCAGGCAACCTGTGCTTCAAAAGCAATAGTAGAATGATGCGATCTTGGCAACTCACTTGATTATGCGTTCACATAATTTATTTTCTTTGGTATTTGTAATTAGTTTCCTGAGCGTCAGACTAACCTCACTTCCTGACGAACGAACCCCTGTAACCTAGGGGTACAAGCTAGGGTTATCATCAATTCATCTAAACGAATAGATTGCCACTCGTTTTTATGGGTATCTAAAGGGTAAATACACTGAATCATTTGGAATCAGTAAACCATATTTTGTAACAAAATTTTATCCTTGTATTGTAAAACTAAACCTTAAACTAAACTAGACTTTATCAGTTCATTTTGAAGTTGTTTCATTGTGGTATGCATTTTACTTCAGTTTGTGACACGAGTGAACTTCAAAGGTACGCCGTCACGAGGAGAAATTAGAAAGCTGTGAAGATTGAATTCCATTTTTTTAGGCGTTGATGCACAAGGGTGAACTCGGTAGTTGAGTATAATATGGGCAATTCCCAGTTTTCCTTGCAAGTACCCAAGGCGAAGACCTGTAACAAAGGAAATTATCACATTCAAAAAGAAGAATAAAATGAAGATGATAGCGTTTAGCATGACAGGGATCGTTTTTCGACTTTATCGGTTGAGTGGCATTACTGAAATTGTTTCAAATCCCAAATACATGGTTATATTTGTTTCATTTAATAAGATTTACAGCTCTTTAACTGCTATTGTAATTGGCGCCCAGGTATGAGAATGAAATCCACTTTGTTGGACCGTTGTGTGAATATAGAGTTACCAAACTTTGCCAGATTTTCTTTTCCCCGGGCATGTCCTCTTTTTGAAGCAAGAAAATCTGTCCGAATGGATTTTACAAGATAGGACAAAAAGGGCTACTATTTTTAAATACATCTAAACGTATGATCAACAAAGGATACAATACTTTGTCAACTTTTTCGAGTCCCCAACATAAGAAAATTTCATTCTTTAAAATAATGAAATTGAATCGAAACTATCAAGCATAACAATCGTCGAAATCCACAGATAAACTACATCTACATTTACATCCTTTTCTCCCTGAAATGCGACAGTGCTGGTACAAACTATTGTATGATTGTGCTTGTTAAAAATTCGACGCTCCGTGGTGTTAATACAATTCTGGCATGTAGAATTAATACTACTCTGTTGTGTTGATACTGCTCTGTTGTGTTTATAGTTAGAGCGGGATGTCAAAGAGCCTTGTTTAATGACATACGTAGAACTTCCGAGTGTATGTTGCAAGGTTCAAAGCAAAGCAAAATTTTAATTGTTGAGGTAGATTTCACCATCCATCAAATACTTCTGATATAAAAGTGGAAAAGACAGTAATAATTATAAAGTAGTGTGATGTGAAAATGAAGATGATAATTAAAGTATTTAATCAATAGTACGTGTTTTGTCTGTAAGAATGAAGCAAAAGGCATTATATAAAATATTTTTTATAAAGTTTCCTCTTTTTTATAAGAAATGTCCTCTTTTTCCATTATAGTAGTGTGGTAACCCTATACAGATTGCTGCCCAGTAATACGTTCGGAATTAATCAAGAAAATCATGTAACAGTGACCAGATCGGCTGACTGTATGAATTGGTGCCACGACTCGCCGCCGATTCTCAATCGGGTAGGATCGCTCCTTCGATTGAGGCAAGTCATCATTTGGTACGGCGGTATGGACTTTGTGTCCCAGTGTGACATACGGTCATGGATGCTTGGCATTTGGCGCGCTTCAGATGTAGGTGTGGCGAGTGCCACAATTGAAACCGATCTTCAATCGGGTTTTGATCGCTCCCACGATCAGGGGGTAGGTGGTCTTCAAGGGCTAGAGTGTCAAGTGTAAATTCATTGTAAATATTTGTTGTTGTCTTTGTAAATAAAAATTTGTTATAAAAAGCTCTGTGTCTGTGTTCGCTGTGGGTATCGGTGCGAAGCGTGTGCAAGCGAGTTCTTACCCAGGCATTTGTGGGGCCCCTCCCCGAAGGACATGAAGCAGCAGCTGGGGATGTTGCCTCTGTTGGCGTCGGAGAACCTCTCCGGATCGAAGCGTTCGGGCTCTGGGAAGTACTGCGGGTCCCTCTGGATGCCGAGGATGCTGGTGAAGGCGAACACGCCCTTGTCCAGGACAATGTCGGTGCCCGGCACGCGGTACGTTTTGGTGCACGTGCGGTCCAGGAAGGGATAGACCGGGTACTTCCGAAGGGTTTCTGCGAACACAAAATTCGGTTAATAACACTCCATTCCATTAAAATATTGTGTCCTGTAGATAGTGTACTATTTATGAACTCAATAATTCATCAGTGTCAATGTACACAGAAATTAGGTTTATGGAAAAACTATGAAGAAATTTAACTTCTCTTATGGACTGTTTCTCTAAGATCGAAAATAAATTGATTCATTACATACCTGAGAAAATCATATCCAAGTAATTCACACACTGTAATGCTTGATAAGTGAGTTTCCCATCGTGTTTTTGCATTGTTTCTTGAAGCTGCGTACGCAGTTTCTCTTGTATGTCTTCGTTCATGGCCAGTTCATACAGAGCATAGCTCATGGTTGTGGATGTCGTGTCAAAACCAGCTGCGAGAAAGCTCAATGCTTGGGCCACGAGTACGTCACCATCCATATCTAGGAAATAGTTAATTGTTGTAAAGCGATAAAGAAATACTTTCTCTAGTAGATAAATCTTAACTCGTGAACAAAGAGAGGTGATTGAAGTACATTTATGGAGGAGATAGATTTTCTCGAGAATTTTGAACGTTGGTGTGAGAGTTCTGATTTATTTTGATTGAATGTGTTTTCATAAAACACAATTTTATAAGAAAAACACCTACGATGTTTTAAGTAATTTTACTAGAATTTATGCGGTTACATTATGCAAATTAGGTGTAACAGTTCACAGATATTCTAAGAAATGAATATGCAGCAACCTATACGAACCAAAAAGTCGCTTGCTTGCCTGGAATACAATGAAACAGCTTGACCCTTGTATTTTGCAACTGTCAAAGAATAGACTGTGAAAGTGCAAACTGGTTAAGTAAAATATTGAATTGAAGAGATGTTATAAATATAACTCAAAGGTGGTAAAGAGGTATA